TATATTAACATCTATCGAGGTAAGTTATCTCTTTCTTTTAAAGAAGAAAGAAGTATAATAGTATGATATGAGATAGAAAGAGAAAAAATGCAAACATTCCACTTAAAGGCATTCATAAATGTGTTAATATATTTCTAGGAAATTCTCGAGACAAAAATAAACAAAAAACAGCCGAAAACAAAAGAAGAACAGCCGAGCACCGAGCACCGAGCACCGAGTACCCGAGTACCCCCGAACACCAAGTACCCGAGTACCCCCGAGCACCGAGTACCCAAGTACCGAACGTTCGACACTTAAAGGATAAGAGTAACGTCATTCCCCTTCCATCTTTCGACACGTAAAGACTGGCAACAGTAACTAGGCATTAAATTATTTAATAATTTTATTTTTCTAACGTTAACGCGTGTTAATTTTAATACTTCAAAAAGTTTTACCATTGCACATAGAACGATATAAAAGAACGGCTTTTTTTATTATTGAGATTACTCTTTATTGAATTATATTTAACATTGATTCTTTATGATAAAATATCTTTTAATATGTGTCCAGCCTTCAGAAATGATTTACAGGAAATATTGTAATATAATCTTTAGTATGTTTCAGCTTTTCAGACTTTTTATTTCATTTTATTTTATACGTCGTCATCTTAAGGGTAGGATACCCATCCTGCAGTCATCAACGAAGACTAAAAGTATGTATATTTTACTATCAAACATTTCTATGATAATTTCAATGGGTTTTTATTACGACAATGACATTAATTGTTCTTTTTCTTTCTGTGTTTCAGAACATCATTGCAATCGAGCGCGTAGGCAATGAGGTACTCGTGTGTTGCATCGTTAAAATAAAATACAAAAGAATCGGAAAATAGAATCAGTGTTGATCGTCGCATGTTAAAAGTTTCGTTTGCTCGGTTAAGAAACTCGCAAGTTTCTTTTATTTGGTTTAAACGTGTGCTCATCGTCATCCTAAGGGTAGGAGACCCATCGTGCATTCGTCGATAGTGATTTAAAGTGAGTATATTTTTGTATTRAATAAYACYTCAAAAMTTTTAATGSTTTTCTGTAATAGTAATGATATTAATAGTATTGTTTTTTTATTTCTGTTTCAGATTGCAATCGTGCGCGAAGCAATATGTGTATTACTATAAACACTGCATTACTACGGGTTGGTGTCTTAAACCGAATGGCCCATGTGAAGTGATCGGGAGTGAAATTTATTGCATTTGACTGCGTGCAATGCAGTCTTTGAATTAGTTGTAGAATCAGTGATCGGGCGAATAATAAATTAACATCAAACGCGAATTAGAGTCAGTGTTGTTCGTCGTATAATAAAATTTCGGTTTCGCGATAAGAGACTCATCTATAGTTTCTTATTTTCGTTTATACCGCGTTATTAGATTCACGTGAGGTGCATCGCCATGGTGCAATAGAGCTGCATCCCATTGGAATACATTGTAAGTATTCATTTTTATTTATCTTTTATTCGATTTTATTGTATATGATTTTGGATAATATTTCAGATAACTTATCGTTTTGTTCTATTTTATTTTACAGATATAACCATGGATTCTCTTCCCTTCAAAGATGTTGGATGAATTCTTCGATGGATCTTCGATGGATCTTCTTCAATGGCAAATCGAGTATCGTCTTCCATGGTCAGACTACAATACTTGCTGCGAAGTAGGAGTGTTTTGGAGCCATCGCAGAACTTCTTAAACCGTGAGTTTTTATTTAAAGTCCCTCCAGTGCTCAATCATGCCGAGGATGAAAGGTCCGAATCGGCACGAGTTACTGGTTGTAATTATTTAAATAAATTATTGACGAGCACATGAGTAATTCCTTTTTAGGAGTTACTCATGAAAATTGTATATTTTATTATATGTTTTATTATTAGTTCAGGATAGGTTTTCTTGCCTCATCGGTTAAATTCATTTAATTCATAATGCAATTAATAAATGCACTCTCTTTTTTTACGTGTTAAAAGCATGTAATAAATGTTTTACATGCATTGCTTCGTACATAGTTTATCTAATCGAAATTAATTTTGATATATCAATACTTTGATATTTTAAATAAATGAGCAAGAAGACAAACTTATTCGCGACGGATAGACTTTGGCAGTTAAGTGGCGGCTCAAAGCCCAGTTCTTTMATTAGAACAGCCATTTAATGAAAAAGTCGTCCGAGGTTTGCAAAAAATATCCATCATTATTGTAGAGTCTTTTAATACAGTCTTTACCTCGAAACTATAATTGTTTCATATGGGGTAACTTTTTTTTTTCATTCGCTTGTTTAAGTCATTATTYACCAAATGACTTGTAGAGTCCTTAGCCCGTTTAGATGAATTTTTATTAAAATCTTTTGTGATATTTATATATGTGTTAATCATATTTTCTAGATCAGGATTTTCAGCTTCTAATATACTAATCCCCCGTTTCTCCCCCCCATACTTTCTGCGTTCTCATCTATGCGTGTGCCCAGGTGTTACACGTATGGGTGAGAAACAGTTAGCGTGGGTTTAGTTTTAGTTTT